AAAAATAAATTATTCGCTTTATAACGCGTAACTTTTGCGTTATAACGCGAAACTTTCGCGAATAAACGCTGAACTTCCGCGTTATAATGCGAAACTTTTGCTGTTTAACCAAGGCATTTGCTTACGTCTCAACTTTCTTTTGATTTTGTGATCAAGTTTATTTATTACAATGATAAGCAAAAGGCTTTTTTGAGCTTGAACCATCACAAGCTACAATTTTAAGTTTTCTTGCCATTGAATCCATCTCTACCGTCACAATTTGTCTTTCTCAACGCTGTTCAAAGTTTATACGAGTTTTCCCAAAGTTACTTCAAGATTATTAATTTCGGGGAAAATCACCCCTTTCCGGCGTCTTTTTATGCACTCTCTAGAGAATTTGAAATAGCGATCTCAGAAATTTGACAAAATGAGGTAAATTTGTCAATTGTCTCCCATCGTATTTGTGAAAATCGGATAGCAGATTTTCATTTGCCTCCGTTGGATTCACTGTGGAAATACGATATCGTATTTTGAGGTTGCACCACGTTGTCATTCCATTGCTTACGAAAACATTGACAATTAATTCAAAGTGTGCAAACTCTGCTGTATACCTTAATAGTTTTTATTTATGGCTAGTCCACGAACTCTATAACCCCTCGTATGAGCAGCGGAAAGGGCAAAAATTACCATAATGAGAAAACAAACAATTATTTTAATTTCAATGACCATAAAAACTTAACAAATGATATACAATGCATAATCAACAGACCTTTTCGCAGAACAAATATACATTAAAGCAAAACCAACGACCACGTACGTAATAAACTTATATGAATGCAAAACCAACGATCATCTTTGCAGAACAAACGTACATAAATACACGACAAACGAAAAAAACTTAACAAACGTGCACGCGGTAAATCTAGTCTTGCCGACACCGGGCTCCCGACGGTCCCAGATTTTTATTTTTTTTTTTGTCGGTGCACAGAAACTCTGCAAACTTCTCCAGCACATTTTCTTTTTAAATGAATTCAATGATATTTAAAAACTTAACAAACGTGCAAGCGGTAAATGTAGTCTTCTCGGCTCCCGACGATCCTTTTTTTTTTTGGCGCTTTTTTTGTCGGTGCACAGAAACTCTTCACACTTCTCAGGCACATTTCTGGGTTCAAAAAAAATCATTAATATATATAAAAACTTTAACAAATTTGCGTATCTATTACTGAATCAGCTGTATCATCTCCAAAAAGCGGTAAATCTAGTACTGAGCTATAAAAAACCACTGAAAAAAAGGATACCGATGTTTTCAGAATCGCGATTAAAAACAAAAAATTAAGGTATAGATTTTTTTAATAAAAGGAAACCCTCATTTACATGCCAGATAATTTGTATGGCGATTGCACAAAAATTCCCCACACATTTTTTTTTCGTATAGAACTCTTTGCCACATTATGTTTATGTTTCCAGGATCTACAACATTTTTTTTCCCTTTTTTTAGTTAATTTATCTTAGAAATTTCAAATGAAAGAAAAGTATTTACATAAAATTAAAAAAATCTCATTCTCCTGAAGGCCGTTTTGTCATTTTTTTTTCGTTGTTGTTACATAAATTGGTTTTCCCCAATTCTTTAAATATTACAAAAATCTATTTTGATAACTTTTAATTACAGTGACATATCATATGACAGGAACGCAGCAACTTTTCCCAAATTTAAGAATAAGGTCAAAAATGGGTTATGTAGTACATGTATATTAGGAAAAAAATGGTACTGAAAGAAGTAGAACCTAACACCCCCCCACACACACACAAACATACCCACACCCTCCCTCACACACATGTATCGATGTCCGTTTTTTGCTGATTCAGTAATAAATACGCAAATTTGTTTAAATTTTTAAATATCATTGAATTCATTTAAAAAGAAAATGTGCTGGAGAAGTTTGCAGAGTTTCTGTGCACCGAAAAAAAAAAAAAATCGCAAAAAAAAAAAAAAAAAAAAAAAAAAAAAAAACCGGGACCGTCGGGAGCCCGGTGTCGGCAAGACTAGATTTACCGCGTGCACGTTTGTTAAGTTTTTTTCGCTTGTCGTTTTATTACCGGCCGCCAGGAGGCGGTCGGTTATATGATATGAAAGTTTTAAGTCGCCGTGCGTTTCTGCGGAGTTAAAACAATTTGAATAAAAAATATTTAACATTCATGTAATAGAATATTAAGGAAGATTTTTTAAATGTTAAACAAAAACGCATAATAATCATATAAAATTAAATTTTATAAATAATAGGTTAAATGTTTCATCCAATCCTGATTGACAAACTCCGACGTAACTGAAATGCGGAGAAATAAGCACACATGTTGGGCATAGTCTAAAGCAAGGGCCGCGTTATATACATGTATACATAAACAAATTTACTTTCTCTACTTCAACAGGATTTGTTGTATATATAATTTAAAATGACGTGTAAATATAAATATACAATGTACTTTTAATACGGAAAGTTTTCAAAAATATGACTTAATTTTAGTTTATTATCAGACAGAATATTTGGAGATTTTTCTCCAACAGACAAGGACAAAGCGCGTTTTACAATATGCCAAGCCTTTTCCCGCCACATCTCACACCAAAACAAGATGGAGAAAAAAATGTAGTGGCGGATCTAGAGGGAATTTGGGGGTTTCAACATCCTCTGAGCGAGCGAGGAGCCCCACATAGTTGTTACGTTTAATTTAAAGTTAAACTATCTCTAGTTATATGAGTTTTAACGTTAGTTTTGATGGTTAAGTGTTAAAACTACTTAAACATCAAACTTCCGCCAGAGTTCGTTTACAAGTACAAATGAAACTGAGTGCAGGGACGCAGAGGACTATGAGTAAGTTGCTTAAATACATTGTACATGTAGCAATGTACAGGTATTATGTACTGAAGAAAACCCTGGAATGTCGCATTCAAATGTTTAATGTCATAGGGATATATATTAACAGATAAATATAAGAATTGAGTTTCTAATTGTATTATGAAAGAATTATACTTAATTGGTTTGCGGCCGATTTTTGACGCTTGCGTCAATATGTTTCTTGTGTACGTTTGTTCTGCAAAGATGATCGTTGGTTTTGCATTCATATATGTTTATTACGTACGTGGTCGTTGGTTTCGCTTTAATGTATATTTGTTCTGCGAAAAGGTCTGTTGATTATGCATTGTATATCATTTGTTAAGTTTTTATGGTCATTGAAATTAAAATAATTGTTTGTTTTCTCATTACGGTAATTTTTGCCCTTTCCGCTGCCCATACCCTCGGATATATAAATATTAAAGAAAATTTAGAAACCCTGCTCATCGATAAATTTGTAATTAACAATATCCAATTATAATTGTTATTTAAACAGCATCATATGGCCCGTTAAGCTATGAAATGATACATTGTTCATTCACTTTTAAGTTATGTTTCTACAGTGTATAATTTTTTGTCCAAAATAATTGATTGCTTAATTTACTAGTGGTACAGTTGTAGTAAATGTTACTGATTAAAACACTTGAAAAAGGTGTCAAGTGGAGATTTTCCTTAAAAATAATCAGTCTACAGAATTTAACAATTAAAAAACATGTACAAGAAAGTAAAATTCATTTTATTAATTCAATGGTAAGGTTTTAAAATAAAAAAAATATTCTGATGACTAATCTATCCTATTCTCGCGTCATTTCTCCTGTACATCTTCTGAGGAAATGAGATTTTATAAATGAATTCATAAAAGTTCCCGTCTGTGTTCATGTTCTTATCTGTCATTCAAGATCAAGGTTCCTGAGAAACATTACTATATGCATATCATTTCGCGAAACGCGAAAGTTACTCTTTTATTCTAAAAAGTTTCGCGTTATAATGCGAAAGTTACGCGTTTATTCGCGAAAGTTTCGCGTTATAACGCGAAAAAATCATTTTTTACCTACGAAAATGAGCTCATTGGGCTTTCGTACCACCTGGCTAAAATGACTTGACTCTAGACTTTTTTAACTCCTGGAAGCAATAATATTTTAATACATTCCAGAAAATAGACTTTGAAAAATTTAGCATGAATGTAATTGTCTGAGAGAAAATTTCTTACCTACCTACCGACTCATTTTTTTCATCCGAGTGGGGAAAAGGCAGGAAGACAGCAAATTGATCACACCCGTGAAATGTACACAGTTTTTGTAAACAGGGCATGAACTCTGTTATTGTTGATGTTTACAATTCACCGGTAGCATTCAATTGTTAAAGTCTGCTCACCTCAACTGCACGGACTGACAATATACTGTGTGTATGTTTTGCTTTCGAACATTTCTACTCTGAATTTTCTAGTTTTAATAGTTTTAATATTTTTTATTTATACACAACAAGATCGCCACTTTTCCTAAGTATTAAGAATACAATCAAAATTTGTGAAAATGCAAGGATTTGTCAATCAAACCCATCTAAAAATTTGAAGTTTTCATAACTTTTAGATGAAATAAGATTTTTAATATATTTTTATGTGAAATGCTATTAAAATATTTAAGTCGTAATATTATACAGAAAATATTAACTTCAAATCTGTGTCCATGCACCTTTAAATGCATCATCCATCTTAATTTTGTTCCGGAAGGATAATACTGTATAAGCAGAATTTTCAGCGAGGATTTAATTTTGGCATTATTAACGAGGGCGCCAAGATCGCTAAAATTGAAAATCGCTAAAAATTAATTGCCCTTACCAATTTTTAAGGACAAATCGCTAAAATTTCCACTTATACGGTATTCACTCCTCTAAAATATGTAGGTCAGATCCAGCTTCTGGAGCATCATCCCCTACAAAATGGTATAATTAAGACTTATAGTTACTTTCAAATGGACTTGTACAAAAATCCTGTTCGTTAATCTGGAAAATGGTTGGAATCAGCTGCAAGCCCACTAGTGTGAATCCTTAGATGTATCATCTATGAAAAGTTTGATCAATACAGGGCTTATAATTTCCTCGAAATGAGACTTGCTTCAAATTATGAAGAATGTGAACAGAAAAATCTTTATTATTTTCTGGCAAATTACACACAGTGTGAATGCAACATTTTATTTAGCTTTGTTATAAAACAATCATGATAAATGGTTCACACACTATATCTGCAGACAAGGAGCTATGGAAAAATCATTGTACAAGTTGCTGCCCTTTGCATAGTAACATATTTTGTTGCTTGTCTTTTACTGAGTTTCAAACATAGTATAATATGTTTATATGTATAAACCAGTTTTATGACAGGTTTAACTATGCTCAAAATAAAATATGAAAACTGTATCTTCAAAATTCACAAATATGAAAAAAGTATCTTCACAATTCATATTACTCTAATAAACATGTCACATAACTGTGTGTTTAAATTGACTTATAAAATTAATTTTTCTGTTGTCATCTATAATGACACTGAGGAAGAGAATGGAGATATGATCATTATCACAATTTCTCCTAACACTTGACTGTATAGTCAACCTGACCGCAACACTTTTACTATAAAGTCTTCTTTGCCTTGAAGGAAATTTGTGACACTGATTTGTTTTCCAGAAATTTTTGCTGGGATGTTAAGGAATTCACAGCTTGTGATAGTTTCTTCTCTAATCTACAGATACTGGTAATGACTCTGCTGCCCCAGCATCAAACTGTCTTTGGCTGAAATAAAAATAGAATTTTATAATAAACAAGAGATGTTTGTAAAACACTTATGCCCCCCTCCCCCCAAATTGGAATTTTTCTATGTGCAAAAGGGCATAACTCTGTCAAAAATGGCACGATCGTACCCAAAACAGAACTTGACCTAAATATTTATCTGATAAATCTGTACACCAAATTTCATTTAAGTATGTGCAACCTCTGCAAAAAAAAAAAAAATGATGGGAAACTGCAAATAATTGGAATTTTGTCTAAGTCCAAGGGTCATAACTCTGTCAAAAATGGCGCAATCGTACCCAAAACAGAATTGGACCTAGATATTCATCTGATAAATCTGTACGTTAAATTTCATTTCAGAATGTGCAACGGTTGTGAAGAAAATGAACAGAAACTGCAAATAATTGGAATTTTTCTAAGTCCAAGGGGCACAACTCTGTCAAAAATGGTGCAATTGTACCCAAAACAGAAGTTGACCTAGATATACTTGTGATATATCTGTATACCAAATTTCATTTCAGATGTGCATTGGTTGCGAAGAAAATGAATGGAAACTAAGTGGACCGACAGACAGCAGCAAAGCAATATGCCCTCCATTCTTCGAAGGGGGGCATAAAAAGTCAGCCATGCAATTATTTGATAAAGAAGAGTGGACAATTATCTGGAAAAAAGAGAAATGACATTTATAGCTAACCTGATGTGACGACTAGACTGTTTACTGGAAGAAGTCCATGTCAGCTGACTTTTGCTTGGCACAGAGGGATGGTAAAAACTACAGGTGGGTTTATTCATGCACTTGATTCCAAATCGACATGGCTGAAACACAATTAGAAAAACTTAAATGATAACTAATGTACAAATCACAATTATGCATCACAAAAATCATGAACAATGCCTTAAGATACGTTAGTTCATTTTGAAAAATTCTTAAGTTGACTTCTAATTTTGCGATCTGAGTGACTGCAGGGTAAAACAGAACTTTAAAAATGAAAAAAAAAAAAATCATCTTCAAATTCATTGTGGACCTTTAATCTCCTCAATACAAGTGTTTTCTTTTGTACAACAAAGATAATCCTACCAGGATTTCAGTGTCTGCTACAAGTTTCAGATTTTTGTTACAACACAGTATTTATCTCGGTACTGGACAGAGACCGTGACCCTACCTTGGGGTGATAAAAGGTACACTGGACATTACTGCAGTTAGGGAAGAACCTGCAGGTGATGGGTGTATTGGTAGGGGCTCCCTTGTTGAATGAGGATCCATAAGAAGCTGCCACTGGGACTGGGACTTGGACAACTGAAGAGAAAGAGTTATCTAACTTTAATATTGAAGCCAATCATACACAAATTGATTAGTACTTAAATCTCAAACCATTGAAATTAATAGCAGCCTCTATGCAGGAATATGTATAATAAATATCTTCAAGTATATAGAAAATGATTTAAAATTTATAATTGTTAAGGTCTAATGTACCTCTGATAAGAAGGATAACTGCCAAAAAAACAAGAGATGTTTGTAAAACACTTATGCCCCCCTCCACCCCACCCCCCAAATTGGAATTTTTCAAAGTCCAAAAGGTCATAACTCTGTCAACCAGAAGTCTCTGTCGAGACTGAAGCTCTACTGGTTTGTCATTATAGCAAAGGAAGAGAAAAGTACTTAAAAGCAGTTGGGAATTGAAACTTTTCAACAGCAATAAATAGAATAATGATCCTTGATTAAGTCTCTTTATGTTCTTAGTGTAGTCTACTTGCATGCCATATTATATTATAATCAGACTTAAACTGTATTTGGAGTAGCATTTTGAAATAATTTCACAGAAATTTCTATTTTGGTAACCACAGCAACACCGTTCATCGAAATCAAAAACCCATATACAGAATTATGTATCTTAGTGTAGTCTACTTGTGTGCTAAGTTACGAGGGGCGTTCAATAAATAATGTCATTGGGGCTCAGAAAGAATCAAACGACGCTTTTCAATGATTTAGTCTTCATGATTTTACTTATTAATCTCTTTTAATTCAAACACATGTCCGTAACATTTTTTATCCAATTTCTGATTGTTTTTAGAACTCATTTTTGGGTATGACCCTTACTATACTGGAAAATGGCAGATCCAATGATTTCCTGGACTTGTTTTTTCCTTCTGAAAGGTGTTTTTTTCAAGTTTGGAAATAGAAACAAGTCAAAAGGTCAAAGATCTGGCAAATATTGTTAATGTGAAAAAACATTAACTTTCTGTTTATCCCGAAAACCCCTTTACTCTTTAGGGCATGCGGGTTTGAACTCTGTCATGAAGAAATTTAACTTGTGGATTCCTGATTCTGGGTCCTTTCTCTTATAAACCTTTCGATTTCTTTGCAAAAAGAACTGCTTTCTAGACACCACCAGATATTAAACTGTCCCCCCGAATACGAATTTGAACAACAATACCACTAATATTTAAGAAAATTGCATATAAATCTGTCTTTGTGCTCTTGCAAACCTTTGCTCTCGACAGACCTTCGCCGTTTTAATCAAGTTCATCTGATGTTAAATTTTGTTTTATTGGTTTTAAGCAATAGATTCATGTTCCAATATTTGTTTGAATATAAAACAAACGTGGATGACTACAATTACTGATATTTTAAAATAATTGTTAAGACTTTTGTACACGCTGTCGTTTTCACTCATTTTTCAAAATACAGGGTGACCTTAGAGTACCAAGCTTAATTACTGTCAAACGTTTCTTAAAAACAGTGTAAACTACTCCCGATATGATGTCTATCAAATTTGCTATGTGTCTTAAAGTCAATCATACAACATCAAATATTATTTGTTGAAATTTGGCATACAGTACATAAGTTATTATAATTTTTGTTGGCAAGGAGGGTACCCATTTTTGATGCCCATTATATAATTTTTTATCATTGAAATACACCTGCTCATTTGTCTATAAAACAGGCATCAGTTGCTGTAAATGTCACATATATCAGTGAATATTTCTTTGGGATTTTTAACAAGTTTTACAGCAGCTCTAATGTAGCTTTTATTTTCACTCTAGTTTAATGATTCTTTACCATTCATTTATAATGCAGTGTCTCGAATAGACATTGTTTCCCAGCTTCTCACGATAAAACTATGTGATGAAAAGTGGTCACATAAACTGTTATAAATTCATTAAAGATTCAATAATGAGAGAAAGTCAAGCTTTATGTCATATGACTACTATGTTGTATGTCATCGAGCTAATGACATTATTTATTGAACGTCCCTCGTATATGGAAATCAGACCAAAACTGTAGGAGGAGTAGCATTTTGAAAGAATTTCACAGAAATTTCTATTTTTAGTAACCACGGCAACACCGTTCATCGAAATCAAAAACCAATAAACAGAATTATGTATTTTAGTGTAGTCTACTCGTGTGCCAAGTTATATTGAAATCAGACCAAAACTGTAGGAGGAGTAGCATTTTGAAAGAATTTCACAGAAATTTCTATTTTTAGTAACCACGGCAACACCGTTCATCGAAATCAAAAACCCATATACAGAATTATGTATTTTAGTGTAGTCTACTTGTGTGCCAAGTTATATTGAAATCAGACCAAAACTGTAGGAGGAGTAGCATTTTGAAAGAATTTCACAGAAATTTCTATTTTTTGTAACCACGGCAACACCGTTCATCGAAATTAAAAACCCATACACAGAATTATGTATCTTTATGTAATCTACTTGTGTGCCAAGTTATATTGAAATCAGACCAAAACTGTAGGAGGAGTAGCATTTTGAAAGAATTTCACAGAAATTTCTATTTTTAGTAACCACGGCAACACCGTTCATCGAAATTAAAAACCCATACACAGAATTATGTATCTTAGTGTAGTCTACTTGTGTGCCAAGTTATATTGAAATCAGACCAAAACTGTAGGAGGAGTAGCATTTTGAAAGAATTTCACAGAAATTTCTATTTTTAGTAACCACGGCAACACCGTTCATCGAAATCAAAAACCGGTATACAGAATTATGTATCTTAGTGTAGTCTACTTGTGTGCCAAGTTATACTGAAATCAAACCAAAACTGTAGGAGGAGTAGCATTTTGAAAAATTGTTTACAGACAGACAGACAGACGGACAGACAGACAGACAGACAGACGGACGGACGACGGACGCATTACTATCGCATAAGCTCTTCTGGTCTCTGACCAGTAGAGCTAAAAATGGTGCAATCATATCCAAAACAGAACTTGACCTAGATAGTCATCTGATAAATCTGTATACTAAATTTCATTTCAGTATGAGCAACCTCTGCGAAGAAAATGAACAGAAACTGCAAATAATTGGAATTTTTCTAAGTCCAAGGGGCAAAACTCTGACAAAAATGGCGGGATCATACCCAAAGAACCTCTGCGAAAAAATGAACAGAAACTGCAAATAATTGGAATTTTTCTTCTAAGTCCAAGGAGCATAACTCTGTCAAAAATGGTGCAACCGTATCCAAAACAGATCTTGACCTAGATATTCATCTGATTTATTATATACCTAATGTGTTTCACCCTATTTTACTGTTGAATTTACGCTATCACGTGACGTCGTGATCCGATTTTCCGGATCACCAACTTGTTGTTTTCTGAATCCATATCACCACTCTCTGAAACTGATGACGTAGTACACAGAAATATGACGTTATTTTTCTTGCACGTTAAAAAGTCCCTTGTTGTTATGCTTTGTTTTATGGATAAATGTTATGGAATTGATCTGTAAAATTTTCTTTCGCTATAATTTGCTAGTTATGAGGGGGTATATAATAAATTTATCATTATAACAGTAACTTGATCCGAAGAGCTGTATCACGTTCTCGTTATAAAAGACATAAATTTCATTATATTTAAACTCGACGCTTCGTGTCTCGTTATATCCGTACATTCGCGCCTGTAACCATAAAATTTTACAAAGATTTGTTATAATAATATATATATATCAGTATACCAAATTTCATTTCAGTATGTGCAATGGTTGTGAAGTAAATCCGGAATACTAAACGAGTTTTATTGTAGATAATGATTTAAAACAGACAGCAGCAAAGCCATATGCCCTCCTTTCTTGGAATGGGGGCATAAAAAATCCAAAAATATTCAACAATTTGTCTAAATTGGTGTATTCTTTAAAACTGTCTAATTGATTAACTGTAATATTCTTACATGGCCATCATACCCTTTCAGCAAGAAAATGAAATGTTTCTTAACATTGACTTGTATTTTTTGGAAGTTATCTACATGATAAGATCACTTATGAAAGCTTCAAAATAAACATAAATACACTGGTTGAAATGCCTATGTCTTACTTTTCTGTATGACTGTGGTAGAAGTGTTTCTCTTGCTGGCATGAGTAAATGGACATTCCTTCCTAGTGCACTGAGCATCAAACTTACAATTAGGATGAATGTAGAGGCACTTGTCCCCAAATTTACACTGAGGAAACATTCTGAAATAAAATGTCAAATAATTGATAGAAAATGTATCAATTGCATCAACCTATTCTTCAAGATGTGACTCATGTGTATAAAAAAAGCTTTTTACATCTGTTAATTTAGTTTTAATTAAATATCAAAATAAATTTTGCACCTCTCTCTATCTCTCTCTCCCTCTGTCTCTCTTACCAATAACGTATAAAAAGATTAAGGATTTTTTAAAAGCAAATTTAGCAACTAGGAGTGACACTGTTACCAGTACATTGTCCCCTCTTTTCCAAAAAAGACACCCAAACCCAAATCAAACTCTTCATGAGAGAATTTTCCTTTATATTTCTTTGATTAGGCCATTGTGGCCTCGCCCCACCCCCGGGGGTCATGATAGATCAAAAAAGGAAGATATATTATTTCTAAAAGAAGATCATGTGTAAGATTTCATTTCCCCATTGCGCAAATCATTTTACGCCATAAACATATTATGATCAACTTCCCTGTAAATTTAGCAACTAAACACACTGTTACCAGTACATTGCTTTTAAAAAAGACACACCCAAATCAAACTCTGCATGAAATCAGATTGGACAGAACAAAATATATTAGAAGAAGATCATGTGTAAGATTTTATTTCCCCATTGAATTTTACGAAAAACACACTATCTACAAAACATGTATGACATTATGAAATCCTCGTCATGTGGGAGAAAATGATCTTTACAAGTTATTATAATACGTATATATTATTATAACAGTAACTTGAGGAGCCATTTCACACCAAGTTGACAGGTAGGGAACACCAGATCAAACTAGAGTTCACACTTTATCAGGGATTTTCAGAAAAGGTAAAAATGTCAAAGTACTTCATGGATTTCAGAGTGTGTTTACAGTGTTAACATTGACAATCAAAATTTCATTGTTCGTTGTCTTTTTTTCATTAATAACCTTAAAAACATAAGATTTTAGAAATACTTATCATTTTGCAACCAGGTCCTGGAATTATGAAACACCTTTAGCATCTTAAGCTTCCGTCAAATATTGTTTATTGTGCTGAAATGACTTAGAAGTCAACCATTCAAAAATAAAAATGCTTGTTAATTTTGCATCAATGGACTACTGTTGTACGCAAATGAAAAGAGTTTCAGTTCTTAAATAATAATTCCTAGTTGAGTAAAATTTGATTAAAATTTTGACTTCAGTCTGAGTCTTTTTATGATCCTGGTGGACCATCTGTCCTGTTTACTGTGACATGACACTCTGTATTAATTGATTATTACAAAACTTGTTGTGTCAGTACGACATGAGTACCCCTGCTGACAAATACGTGTTATCTCAAATGAATAAGTGGAAGTGACACAAACAAGACAAAAGTATAAACATCTTAATGACCTGATATACTGTAGACATATTTTTTCGCGGGGTCATAATTCCGCGGAATCTCAATTTCTGTTTAATCCGCGGGTACAAAATTACGCGGATTTTCTTGACTGTCACTATATGCCTTACATTTATATTAAGTACACTTGGACAAATTTCCGCGGATTAATTTTGACTGCTGAATAGCGTAAATTAATACCATGAGGAAAAAAGTACTTCTACAGTAATTAAGACTCAATTTACATTTCTCTACAGATGCACAGAATGAAAACAGTTCTTTTTTTTTTAGTTCTGAAATCTACATTAGCCCTAGTACATATTAAAAGACCTGCAAACATCAGAAAATTGAATACTATGAAATCACTACTTTTCATGGGGGTTTAATTTTCATGGTTCTCGAGTTATGAAGAGACCAACAAGGTTATGTCCACCATGAAGTGTAATTTTTCTCAGATATTACCACTCAACAGTTCTTTATCCAAGAAATTAAATCCCCCAAAACCCATATTTTTTTCCTCAAACCACAAAAATTTGACCCCAGAAGTATGCGATTTTACAGACATAGGCCCAGGGCTTTAATGGTTATCTGAGTATAATACAATACTATAAATGATCTAAAGAAGTGTAAAATTAACATTAAACCCCCCCCCCCCAAAAAAAATAGTTGAAGCTAAATTGTCTGAAAGCAATAGAAATGTATGTACCTGGAAAAGGGGTCAACAATTTAGTTACTCTAGTACTGATAGAAAGCAATCTTTAAGTTTTAATGAAATGAGTTTTTTTATTATTTGACTGAGAATGTCTTTTCTGAATATGATGTAGTCATGGTTTGTGGGTCATCAATGTTTTTCCCAGATTAGCAGGTCTTTTTTACATCCCCAGAACACTGACTTTGTAAATATTGTTCCCTGAGGAACCTACAAGGAAATTTACTCCATGCTGAGTGTGTTAACCAGATGACCTGTTGGTTTGACTGACAAAGGTGTGCAGTCCTCAGAATTCAGATATCCTTGTCGTGACAGACTTACGAAAATTAATTTTTGTAGGTGAGCAATTTAACAGGGCTATAGTCATGCTTAACATGCATTCGAGGCCTTCAACATAATTATGTGTAAACCAAATATTTTGACAAGAGTACACAAAAGAATCATATTCTTTTAATTTCAGTTTGCCTCCTTACGAAAAACCATTGATGATCAAACACCCTATACTCACGATTATCATGGCTGAAAATATATTTGATCAACATTATGTTGATCAAATATATTTGCAGCTTACATTGAAATTGTTAAATTTCATTAATAGAGGTTTGTAATCTTAAAGATTATTTATATATCAAAAAATGCCTTGTCATCGTCATGATATCAAAATCTATATACTAGTGTAGACCACAGTCAAAGCTTGTTATCTCAAATACAGTTGGACTGAGAAAAAAAACACAGTACACCAGAACCCTTACCCAGGGACCATAAAATCCAGAATTTGGAAAAAAGGTACCTTTCTCATCAAAACTATGCACTTACTTCATCAGCTTAATACCCAAGAGCAAAGAAAAATAATTTTAAAGTAATAATGCATTTTTACTATATAATATTTACATTTCCAATATCTTTGTTCGAGATATAATTACAGATAGTTAATGTACTTTACTCCATCAATGTACTGGTTCATCGATAGGCACTGTTAAAAAAAATATCATGTGCAGGGCTGGACAAATAGAGACAAGTTATGCCTTTGGCGTTTATGCAAATTATCATGCAAGCCAATCAATTGGTCACATCATGAAATCGAAAAATAAGACAGTTATTCCTTTATTCAATAGAGCCCCACCCTGTCACATAGTGCTTATACTTACCTAGATAAAGGAGGTCAACATTACCGCTACATCACCAAAGATTTCATTTAATTACTGCTACATTTTTTCAAATTTTAGACTGATCATTGCCCTTAAAACTTGGACAGGGATGCCAAAATTTTAACAAATCCCAGAGCTATAGCATAAGCTTAAAAGCATAAGATTTTGGGGATCACTACTTCAACAATTCAATTATGTTGAGATAGAAAAATGTTAAAGTTTTCCCTAATAAAATCTTTCTATAAAATTCAACAATGCTATAGCATTACTAAACTAGAACTGTCCAAACAGGACAAAATACCCCCCGCTGGGTTTTTCAGAAGTAAGTTTTTCCATAATAAAGATATGTATCACACATGAATTATGAAATTTTTCTTCAAGTGACCTTGAAGTTCCCTAAATGACCTTGGGTAAAGGTCATGACACAGCCTTGGGTCATGGGCAATCTTTGTGTGAAATAAGAACCTACCAAGTTTATCCATAAGAAAAATATGGAACGGACACGAATTATGAAATTTTTCTTCCAATGACCTTGAACTTCCCAAATGACCTTGGGTCAAGGTCATGACAAACCCTTGGGTCATGGGCAATCTTTGTGTGGAATGAGAACCTACCAAGTTTATCCATAAGAAAGATATGGACTGGACACAAGTTATGAATTTTACTTCCAGTGACCTTGAACTTCCCCAAATGACTTGGCTCAAGGTCATGACACACCCTAAGGTTATGGGCAATCTTTGTGTGAAATGAGAACCTATCAAATTTATCCATAAGAAAGATATGGACCAGACACAAATTATGACATTTTTCTTCCAGTGACCTTGAAGTTCCCCAAATGACCTTTGGTCATGGTCATGACACACCCTTAGGTATTGGGCAATCTTTGTGTGAAATGAGAACCTACCAACTTTATCCATAAGATGGATATGGACCGGACACGAATTATGAAATTTTTCTTCCAGTGACCTTGAACTTCCTCAAATGACCTTGAGTCAAGGTCATGACACACCCTTGGGTCATGGACAATCTTTGCATGAAATGAGAACCTACCAAGTTTATCCATAAAAAAGATGTGGACCTGGCATGAATTATGAAATTTTTCTTCCATTGACCTTGAACATCCCCAAATGACCTTGGGTCAAGGTCATGACACACCCCTGGGTTATGGGCAATCTTTGTGTGAAATGAGAACCTACCAAGTTTATCCATAAGAAAGATATGGACCGAACACGAATTTTGAAATTTTTCTTCCAGTGACCTTGAAGATCCCCAAATGACCTTGGGTCAAGGTCATGACACACCCTTAGGTCATGGGCAATCTTTGTGTGGAGTAGTAGATTCTAATGTCCCTCCGTAAGAAAGATATGGACCAGACACGTTTGCACAGACAGACGGACAGATGGACAGCTAGACAGACGGACAAGGTGATTCCTATATACCCCCCCAAACTTCGTTTGCTGGGGGTGTAATTAACAAAGGCATCACAAAGTGGAGATTACCCTCACTAAGAACATACATGTACACCTTTCTATAAATCATATGAGAATTTGACATCAGTCTTGATGCAAATTATGTCACTTCCATTTCACACCGAATTAACTTGCTTATCATGACACACACACATGATTGCGTTACTACATGTATATCCCTTTCCAACTCCATTGCAAGAGAATAACTATCAAAAGATAGCCAATTTCACACTAAAATATTAGTTCAAAACTGAGCACTGAATTGAATTTGGCACATCTCTCTTTCTCCTCTCTTTCTCTGATAAATTAGGATCTTACTTGCAAGGCATTGTGGGATGATGGTAGAGACAAGCGTTGCCATTGACGCACGCTGGCCAGAACCGGCATTTCTCAGACAATTTGGCCGCTTTTGATGGTAGAACTTCTTCCTCTTCTTCATCTGTGGTAAATTAAAGATATTGCTTTAAATAGTTATAATGTAATTAAATAACTGAAAGCATGACAATGACTGAATGACAGAGGGAAAGGATTCTACCATATACCCCCCCCCCATTTCATAACCTGGCCCCAATAGAGAATCCATACAAATTAATGCATGACAGTATAAAGTAAGCAAGAAACTAACCATCTGTATCTTTCAGGCTAAATGTGATTGGTTTCACTTCTGGAGCTGAATGTAGATGAGCCTTCTTTGGGATTTCATTTGAGACCTCCATGTCACCTCCCCCAACTTCTTTATCGGCTTCAAACCGGTCAGGGTTCACCCCGTCCAGTGTGACAATAAACCTGGTGTCCACGGGTGACACAAAGGCCGTGGGTTTTTGTCTGTTTAACAAAATCAATTGCATTATTGGTTTTCCTTAAAAGTCATTATGAAATAATGCTTAAGTATCTAGTCTAATCTTCAAATCTTTCTGTAACTTAATGAATTGTCTAAAACAATGCAATGTTAAACTGTTTTATTCCACGTTCATATTTTTGGCAAATAATTCAACAAATTTTTTTATAATAGAAGACCCACGTTTTGGTCTGAGCCAGTGTCCTCTTCCTGTTCTTCTGCAAACTCTGCTGCTTCAACAACAGCGCCCTCTGTGAGACATCGTCATCCTCATCAATATCTGCCCCCTCCTCCGCCTCCTCAACCACCTCTGGACTCGACCCCTCAGGCTCCCCCACCTCCAGACTGCCCTGTGAGAGCTCCTTCTCTGACTCTTGCTGTAGGAGTTGCTGTACATCTGGATCAAGGTCAGGACTCACGGATCGGTCATCATCTGACCCCACAGGGAGCTACACAGTGAATTAAAAAAAGGACTTATCCGAGTTCTGAACTGACATACAGTGACTTTTTATAATCTTTATGATGAAACAATAAAATATAATGCATGTGCATATTTGTAATAATTCTCAGAATAGACTAATGTTCTAATGTTGGGATCTTCAATTTGTCACTTCAATAACTTACACCTGCACCTGTAAAAGTTTTTTCAAGTTTTTCATCAAAAATATTCTCCATTAAACATTTCTAGTGAGTCCTGGACATCCTCCATTAGATTTAATATTTCTAGTGAGCCCTGGACTACCCTGACTAACCTACTGCTGTTAAACTGATTGACCTGTTGACTGGTGTTTGAGCTGTTGTTAACCTGACTGACCTGTTGACTTGTGTTTGAGCTGCTGTTAACCTGACTAATCTGTTGACTGGTGTTTGAGCTGCTGTTAACATGACTGACCTGTTGACTTGTGTTTGAGCTGATGTTCACCTGACTGACCTGTTGACTTGTGTTTGAGCTGCTGTTAACCTGACTGACCTGTTGACTTGTGTTTGAGCTGCTGTTAACCTGACTGACCTGCTGACTGGTGTTTGAGCTGCTGTTAACCTGACTGACCTGCTGACTGGTGTTTGAGCTGCTGTTAACCTGACTGACCTGCTGACTGGTGTTTGAGCTGCTGTTAACATGACTGACCTGCTGACTGGTGTTTGAGCTGCTGTTAACCTGACTGACCTGCTGACTGGTGTTTAAGCTGCTGTTCACCTGACTGACCTGTTGACTTGTGTTTGAGCTGCTGTTAACCTGACCTGTTGACTGGTGTTTGAGCTGCTGTTAACCTGACTGACCTGCTGACTGGTGTTTGAGCTGCTGTTAACCTGACTGACCTGCTATTAACTTGACTGACTGGTGTTTGAGCTGCTGTTCACCTGACTGACCTGCTGACTGGTGTTTGAGCTGCTGTTCACCTGACTGACCTGCTATTAACTTGACTGACTGGTGTTTGAGCTGCTGTTCACCTGACTGACCTGCTGACTGGTGTTTGAGCTGCTGTTCACCTGACTGACCTGCTATTAACTTGACTGACTGGTGTTTGAGCTGCTGTTCACCTGACTGACCTGCTATTAACTTGACTGACTGGTGTCTGAGCTGCTGTTCACCTGACTGACCTGCTGACTGGTGTTTGAGCTGCTGTTCACCTGACTGACCTGCTATTAACTTGACTGACTAATGTCTGAGCTGCTGTTCACCTGACTGACCTGCTGACTGGTGTTTGAGCTGCTGTTCACCTGACTGACCTGCTGACTGGTGTTTGAGCTGCTGTTAACCAGACTGACCTGCTGACTTGTGTTTGAGCTGCTATTAATACTGTCTCCATCCTCTGTTCTGTCCTGGATCTCAATGTACCGACTGTCAACCACTGGAATCACACGAGGCACTTCTTGAACTAAGAACAAGATAAAATGCCAAAATTGCAGTTCAACAATCTTTTATTACAAATCAGCAACTCAGATATCCAACCCTAATAAGACCAAATTCTTTATCCTTAAATGTCCATCAAGTACATAATACCCTCATATTAAATTAGGGCATTTTATAGTAGAAAAGGATTTACAGAGAGAAAGTTTTAAAAAATTTCATTATCTAACCAGTAGTTAATTAACAAAGATTGCATTGAAGTCTATGGGGAAAAATAAGAATTCAGATAATTAGAATATCATTAAATACTGTAGCGAAAAGGTGCATTGAAACATTAGAAATAGAATGACAATTAAAAATAATTTTTTTTATTAATCAGATGTTTTTTTAGTAATTAAAATAGGGGGAGATAACTCTTACCAAAAGTCAAGTTCACAAATACTATTAGGACACATCCATCCTTACAGGAATAAATGGGAATTATGTCTAAACATACTGAGTGTTTCACACCTACACATCTCTTATGTATTCAATTTCACTGAATTTGTTGCTGTTTAGGGATAAAATACCTTAAGTGGATTTTAATTACAATGTTTATAAGTGAGGTTTGATACTAAGTAACATTATCACATACGAAGGTTGATCCAAAAGTAATTTCACAGTGTCCGTATCTTTTATATTTGGCATCATATTTTCACATACAATTTACCAAAAGATACACAAATATAAATCTATTTAACATTGAAATTTTAGTTTAATAATGTTTATTTGAATTTATTTTATAAATGTTTGAAATATAGAGCATAAGGGGTGTCGCCGCGTCATAACGGAACGTCAGGTTTTAAAGTGTTTTTTTTTTCTTAGAATGAAAAAGACAAACAAATTAAAAAGATTCTAAAAAAAGCACCTAATCTCCAATTTTTTTTTAAAAAGACACAATTCTCGTCATTTTCTAGTCTTTAATCGAAAATTAAATGACACCATTGGTGTTTGTAATCATAAAAATTGCTGTTTTACTCTGTTGAATTGAACAAAGGGATTGTCGAAATGAGAAGGAAATGGCTCGACGAGTTGTAATGCATTTTTGCTTCAAAATATGGGAATCATCACAAGTGAAAGTTACATTAATTAATCAGACTTACAGAATAAAGAATGTAAATAAGAGACATCTTCATAGATGGTTTCAGCAATTTTGGGCGGGTGATTGGTCACTGAATCACCGTGTATATCCCAACATGCGGGGTGTATACTATGTTGTGCGCGGGGTGTATGCTTCCGAAGCGAGAGAAAGGGGGTCAATGTAGGTTCGTTGTCCATTTTCTCAACTTACGGATATTTTTCGCCAGAAAGCATATGCCTACGGAAGAAAGCATTATCTAAGGAGTATATGGATACCTATGAATCCACTGGATACTGTCTAGTTTTATCAAACACCTCAACACAATTCCGAGGATCGGAGCAAGATTGACGCTACACTGTGTTTATGATCAAATATTAGAAGAAAACTTTGCTTTATCATCACTTTTATATTATTGTTAAATACATGTTTACTATATAAACGTTTGTACAAATTTTCTTTAAATAAAACAGTTCGTATATAAAGATATTGACGAAAAATCAATGTTGTGTCCGGGGTGTATGCAACATGTTGTACGCGGGGTGTATACCCCTCTCTTTACTCTATAGTATCATTGTCTGAAATATGATTGAAAAATTTCTTAACAATTGTTTTTTGTGAAAGTTATATTTATTTTTTTAAATCATAAACCAGTTTTATAATAGCACAACTTCAGGTTCATGAATTCGATTTACTGAAGAAAAAAAAAGATACACGTTCATCGTACTTTTGTCTTTGCATGCACATGGAAGTAAATGTACACGGTGCTTTGTTTAAATGTTTAATGTGATAACCAACAATTCCTCCCTTCGATTTAAAGACACCTTATTCAGGTCATTCCTTAATAAATGTGACACACATGCATCATTCTGAACATTTAACATTTTCTCATAATTTCTGTTTAACCTTTTTCAACATTTAATTATTAAATGATACTGCATACGGAGTGTCTATATCTCAGTTGATTCGATACACAAGAGCATGCTCTACGTATGGACAATTTCTAAAATGAGGAAAATTATTTACAAGCAAGTTGATGAAACAAGAATATCAGCAGTCTCGTTTAAAGTCATCATTTCGTTAGTTCTATGGTCGATGCAATGACCTTGTCAGCAAATACAATTTGTCAGTGAGTCAAATGCTGACTGACGTTTTTCATACTATTTTTAGTCCATTATTTATACACTAAATTGATGATGGATTTTTCCATTATTTCACGATCATGATAAGGAGCACACTCCTCCATGGCACCTGATCCCACCTCTGATGTTTCGGAGGTCCGTGTTTGCTCTGCTCTTGTTTTGTATTGTTTTATGGACTTTGATATTGAATACTGTTCGTTATCTCCACACCCCTTTTATTGAAAATATTTAGCTTTTTGTAATGTCATAAACACCGCAAAAAATGTTTTCCTTCATGTAGTATTTATATGCTGTGTACTTTGCCCACAGGAACCCACATTTGGCAGTAAACTATTTGTTTTATATTGAGGCGTTGTATTGTACTGAGTAATATTTTCTAAGAATGGGCTTGGGGAGGGTGTGTTTGTGTCTTCCGTCATTTTTTTTTGGGGGGGGGGGCTTTACTTCGTGTATATCGATAATAAATTAGAGGAGGAGTGAACATTAATTGATATTAATTACACGTCAACGTGAAATTGTAATTGTACCCAAAACAGTTTTTTTTCAATTTTGCATGCCCTCAGAAAAAAGGCGTCCCTTATTACAAATGTGCATTTTTATAGAGTCCACATATTGCAAAAATTGAAAGGAAAATTAATTTAATATATCATACAAACACGTAGTATCACCCCCCCCCCTTTTTTTTTTGTTCTAGACACAACTTTTCACTATAGAAAATGTTCATCGAAAGTCAAGTTGCCCCCCCCCCCCTCTTTGTTGCAGCATAGTCAAACAATGATTATGTAGTATGTTGTATGTTTAAGTAAATAAAAAGGAGAATTAATACTGAAAAAAGATGGGACCTTCAACCCCATCTGAAATAGGATTTTTGAGTTTCGATAACCCCCTCCCCCCCCCCCCCCCCACATTTTTATAGCTAGTCAACTTATGTCAAGGTTTTTATTTCAGGTATGCCCCCTTCAAAAAAGATTATACATCACTGTCATAAATGCTTAAGAATACATGTATTGATAACATAAAAGTTGCAGAAAAAAAGAGATTTATTCATAATACACCATTCAAGTAGTGTTTCTATTATTAGAAATATTTAGATTAAAACGATCTGAAGAAAGGACAAAGTGTCCTTAATGCAGGGATTGGGGAGGGGGGCGAGGGCCTCCTTTGGAGAGATTTTATGATTACGTAGATTTAGACCATCTACAATGTAGCATTAATTCAGATAACAATCACTCCTTGCACATCTAGCGCCTATTATGTTTGAATATGAAAGTTTGTTTTTAATTTTTTTTTATTCTTATGATTTTTTAAAATTTAGTTAATTCGTTTTATACATCAGTAATTTAAGTTTATCATGTTTATGGACTTTATTTTTTGGTTCGGCATTAGTATTAAGGTCTTTTATCTACACTACCTGTCACTTATAAACCTGTGTAAATAATATTTCCATAGATACTTCGCACTAACAATCCTAAGAAAAATATGGGGTATACACCTCGCGTACAACATGTTGCATACACCCCGGACACAACATTGATTTTTCGACAATATATTTATATACGAACTGTTTTATTAACAGACAATTTGTACAAACGTTTATATAGTAAACATGTATTTAACAATAATATAAAAGTGATGATAAAGCAAATCTTTCTTATAATACTTGATCATAAACACAGTGTAGCGTTAATCTTGCTCCGATCCTCGGAATTGTGTTGAGGTGTTTGATAAAACTAGAAGGTGTCCAGTGGATTCATTGGTATCCATATACTCCTTAGATAATGCTTTCTTCCGTAGGCATATGCTTTCTGGCGAAAAATATCCGTAAGTTGAGAAAATGGACAAAGAACCTACATTGACCCCCTTTCGCTCGCTTCGGAGGCATACACCCCGCGCACAACATAGTATACACCCCGCATGTTGGGATATACATGGTGTGAATGATCAGCAGAGGACAAGAAGACTGAATGATAGGAGATCGGATGGAAACGTTTAATGGTGTCTGATGTTGTCAAAAAAGACAGATGTATAGGGTGACATGTGAATTTTTAATTTTGTCTAATGTTACTGTTAAAAAAAAATTGACAGAGGGCTTAATTATGAAAAGAGTGAGTGTTTTATGGTAACAAGAATTCTTAAAGAAAGTGAAATTTGTGAAAGTATTTGCGGATCACAAATATTTTTTAATGAAATGAAGGGTAAACGCTTCAAAGTATGACAGTGCGTATCCGTCATATGACGTTATTTTTAGGCGCAGCGACTACCATAAATGCACATTGTTTAAAATCTGATATTTTGGATAGGATACATCATATCCCTTTGCATTTTTCAGGTCTGATTTGAAATAAATAAAGCTTCCATCATGTATATTCTTTTTTCTTTACGTCGAATATAGCAAATTTTATCAAAGTTGTGACATTACTTTTGGATCAACCCTCGTATCTAGCTTATTTAGATGCTTTTGTTGTTATCACTTCTGAATCACTGTTCATTTATTTTGTATGATTAGACAACCACTAAAACAACAACCGTTATTTTAAAATTCACTGGCTATTCCTATTTTCTACTGCATTGTAAACAAGAGGCCCATGGGCCACATCGCTCACCTGAACACTGTGGCTAGGAAAAAGTAGAAATTGGTTTATTATTAAAGAGTTTAAATCAAAAGATAGTCCCATGACCAATCATGGCTTTTCTATTCTTGAGAAGAAGATTTCTACAGAATTTTCCTATATATTTCTATGTAAAACTTGGGTCAGCCATTGTGGCCCCGCCCTACCCCGGGGGGTCTTGATTTGAAAAACTTGAATCGACACTACCTGAAGATGCTTCCATATAAATATGATCAATTATGGCTTTGTCATTCTTGAGAAGAAGATTTTTAAAGAATTTTCCTATATATTTTTATGTAAAACTTGGATTTGTGGCCCTGCCCTACCCCTGGGGGTCATGATTTAAATAAACTTGAATCTACACTACCTGAGGATGCTTCCATATAAATATTATCAATTATGGCTTTGTCATTCTTGAGAAGAAGATTTTTAAAGAATTTTCCTATATATTTCTATGTAAAACTTTGGTCGGCCATTGTGGCCCCTCCCTACCCCCGGGGGTCATGATTTGTACAAACTTGAATCTACACTACCTGAGGATGCTTCCATATAAATATTATCAATTATGGCTTTGTCATTCTTGAGAAAAAGATTTTTATAGAATTTTCCTTTATATTTCTACGTAAAACTTTGGTCAGCCTCTGTGGCCCCGCCCTACCCCCAGGGGTCATGATTTGAACAAATTTGAATCTACACTACCTGCGAATGCTTCCACATAAGTTTCATCTTTCCTGGCCCAGTGGTTCTGGAGAAGAAGATTTTTAAAAGATACCATTAATTTTTCATTAATTCATAATTATCTCCCCTTGGAAGAGGGCTTGGCCCTTCATTTGAACAAACTTGAATTCCCTTTACCAAAGGATGCTTTGTGGCAAGTTTCGTTAAAATTGGCCCTGTGGTTCTTGAGAAGAAGTCAAAAATATGAACAGTTTACAGACAGACGGACGGACGAACAGATGGATGGACAGACAGACGGACTACAGACAAAATGTGATCAGAAAAGCTCACTTGAGCTTTCAGCTCAGGTGAGCTAAAAAACTCTTGAACCTGAAAGACTACATGTAAATGCTTTGTGTAAGTAGTGTCCTCACAACAGGTAGTAATGTCATGTGTCATGATGATGCACTGTCATGATGACGCATTATAACAGTTCACCTAGACATGAAAAGCGGTTAATCCTACAATCTAAACAGTCTTATTTTAAAGTAAAAATAAAAAAAGCATGTCTCTTGAAGTTTAATTCAAATAATATCTATGACTCTCTCATGCCCTTCACTGACTTTTAAATTTAATTCTGTGTGTGCAATTAGTTTTTTGTTGCACACCTAAATATACGCATGTATTGTTTTTGCCCCCCCCCCCCCTTTAGACAACCTAAATTCCTTGATCATATTTTCTCTGGGCTCACCTTTTTGTGGTTTGGGTTTGTTCTCTATAGTGTATTTCATATTTTTCATCAACTCAGTTTTTTTGGAGTTGGAGACCAGCTCTCTAGCTTTTCCTGCAGTAGAAGGTTTCCTGGATTCCACCCCACTGGATCCACTCCTTCCATGAAGTGTCACAGTTACTGGTTTCCTTAGTTTTGTTCTAGCATCCTCTGCAAAAAAAAAAAAAAAAATCAGATTGTATGGCAATTTGTGTACAGCTGTGCATACATTATTTCATGGGGATTAACTCCTTCATGTACATGTACATGTATTATGAAAAATAAGCAATACTTTAAGGCATATTTCATCTCTTAATATAAAACTACCTTGTGATTTTTACCATCAGCAAAAATGTTAACTTTTCTTGAAATGCATAAGTACTGTAAGAGTGTAGAATTTTATAAAATAGATACTGTAAACGTATTACATTTGGCAGTGTATTCTTTTTTGCGATTTTGGGGGAAAGATACTTCCACTAATTCACGGACATCACTAAATGTCCTAAACATAGATACATGAATAAGAAATATGCTAAATCAAACCTACATTAACTTGTTTTAAAATCATTTTCCACTAAATATTGTATACACTAAATATAATACATTTACAGTACTGCATGTTTCTTTTGACAAACCTTTGGCACTGTACATTTTTTCCTCTTTAAGTACAGAATTCATAGCCATGGAGACAGACTTCTCAGCTTCTGCTGTGGCCTTCAGTATTAGGCTTTTGTTGGCTTGTTTTGTAATTGGTACACTGGACCTAAACAGATTTCTTCCATGAATAAAGTGCCCCACCACAGCATGATACTCCCGTCAAATATTGTTCAATAATCATAAATTGGTTAGGGTGCGAAAATTTAACCTTGATTAACAGAGTGACATATGCAGATTTCAATGATCTAATTTCCATTTCTTATCATGTTTAAACTATTGTACATACATCTCTAAGAGACTTACAGTGTATGGGTTAATTATAACAAATGATACATCATATAATTCTAAACTGACTGTGTTAGAGCTTAACAAATATCCATCGGCAGCTTTAAATTGTTTATTGCATATTTTATGAAATAATGGAAATGCTCCAGTCTAATAAAAAATAAAAAGTAAATTATTCTTTAGACTATAAAATTCTAAGTGAGTCATGACTGCAATTTGTTGCAAATATATAAAAATTGAAATGTAATTTTTTTTTCAATGAACACATGTACAATTAGTTTTACTTATATTATACAATACAAATTTAGTTTTTATCATTCACTAAAACATCAATTTGTTTTAATTACATTACACCAATTGAAAGATCTTTATCTGAACTATAGCCATCAAGAACTCTTAATTAACACAAGCAACTATGAGGCCATTTCTTTTTACCCAACTCCCAAGAGATAAATTAAGATAACACTAGAGATGCTCTTGCTTTAGACTACCAGTTAGCTCCCGACAATAAACTCATTAATTTCTCTCTAATTTGACATGCAAATTTCTGCTATCAAAATTCTTCTTGACCAGTGCTTGATGATTATGCCCATGGGACAAACTGAATTCCTCTCAAAACATTAACATTTGTTACAGATTGCTGTAAAGTATATGATGAAAAAAATAAGTTTTTACTTAATTTAACATTTTTTAAATAAGGATACAACTATATTTTTACATTTTTCAGGATTATGAAACTTAAAATTTTAAAGACTTAGTTTTTTTTAAAAATTCACTTAAAGTAAAGGTCACAGTGACCTTGAAATAGGCCGCGACACACCTTCTACCTTAGATGTATACTTTTGCCAAGTTTGAAAGCTCTAGGTCTAATAGTTTTCTAGTTATGAGCCGGACAGGATTTTTCCATATTTGGCTATAGCATCTTTACTAAAGGTCAGAACGACCTACTTTTTGTGCGCGACACACCGTCTACCCAAGAAGTATCAGTGGACAAAGTTTGATAATCCTAGGCCTAATAGTATTCAAGTTATAAGTCGGACACTTGAAGCCTATAACATAATACGTCCCGTCTTAAGACGGGCATATAAAAAACTTTTCCGATTGACTTTAAATGTTCAAATCAATCATTTCAAGAAATTTTGAATTTACTTTACACAAAAATACAAATATCAGATAAGAACCACATCTAGAAAATTATAAATGTGTTAGTTACTTGTGTCAGTAGCAATGTTAAATAAATGTGTTACTCGTGTCAGTAACAGTATTAACGAATCTTTGGGGTCAATGTAGTTCTTCAACATAATGAGTACAGATCTACTCCTAAACCAGCCAGCCCGTTACACTTACTTTCTAGGTCGGGAGGAGACTTGGACCACGCTGGCCACGCTGCCCACCGCAGGGTTATAGGGGTCATACTCCTCTTCCTCCTCCAACTCAAACTTCCTCTTCACCGACGCCACAACAGAAGTGGGCTGTCGTCTCCGGGGAGGGGTTACCTAACAAATAAACAGTACATCAGTACATCAAGTCAATCCTCTGTCTTAGAAAAATCAACTTATTCTGGAATATCTACAGTGTAGAATTCACGTGAAACTTAAAATCTATGTTCGCTTCTGCACTGTAAAGAAAAGACTAATCTAAAACACTTCTTTCTTTAACTTTTTACCCATCTGGTATGCAGATTTTGGTAATAAGAGGGGGTATGTACATGTACTTGTAAACATGCACTGTAGAGCAAAACATGATAATTTTCCTTATTCAAATTAATTCAAACTCTAACTGAAAAAAATATATACAAAAGTATACTTAAGCTGATAGAAATAATTTGTCATTTTATGTACAGAGCAACCTGACTGTCTGAACAGGGCTCTAACTGGCCACTAATTTTGTCATCCTTGACCTGACATTTAGTGTTTAAAATTGGTAAATACCTGGTAAGAAACTTCACGTATTTTAAAATGACTTGTTGACCATCAAAGTACAGAACTATTAGCATTTTCCCTAAAAACCATTTCTTTTCCAAAAAGAGGCTAAACATGTATTTCTTTTTGCAAAGAAAATGTTTTACATGTATGTTTTCTGTCAAATAAGACCAAGATAAGGAGACAGCTGGCACTTAAAATTTTAGAATGGACTGTGAAGCCTGTTGAACACAACAGTGCTGTTGAAAAAATTATCTGAATGTTTAAGATATTGAACTACGATGTAAAACTCATATATACAAAAAAGATCAGGACTGCCATCTCACTTCAAAATATACCTGGTTACAGCATATTGATTTTCAAAATGTTCAACTGAAAATTAGATAAACTCATTGCCATTCATAGTGACACAGAACCAAATCTTACAGTTCTCTTGGATGAAGATGATGATGATGGTCTCTGGACTGTTCTGCCTGCCTCTGGGGGTGAACTTCTAGAGGAGGTTCTCCTATCTTTCTCTGGAGATATCGGTAGACCTAGGCGAGAATGAACCGATATCGGCTTCACGACAGACTTGGCCTTACTATGAGAGCTGACCTGACTAGCCTTCTGTTTATCCTGGGATGATGCATCTAAAATGATTAATTCAAACTATGAATTCCTGATATACAAGTATATTTTTCTCTCCTGATAATGAAAATTTGATGGAGATCAATGCTTATGTAAACATGCTTTGCAAAAGTTCACAGTGAAAACACCACCACCAACAACATGGACAGATAACTGAAAAATTTTGATCAAAAAAGCTCATCTGAGCCCAGGTGAGCTAAAGAGTGAAAAAATGACCAGCACATATCATAGCAATTGATGAAAATTCTTTATAAAAATTGTTACTTTTATCTGATGGTTTTGCCTTTCCTGTCTTTGATACACTTGGTTCCTCTTTGAACTCTGCAGCAAACTCATCTAAAGAACAAATGAAACATATATCAAAGTCTCTATTCATACTTAATCATCACTTCTATTTCTATCATTTCAATTTAGATACTACTTAAAATGACCAAATGTTTACCATCTTTTACAAGTCCTAGTAATTATGTTTTGCTTCTTGTGTAAAACTATCATAAATTCATATAAATCCTCCATGAATTCTAAACTACAATGTTTATCAATATACAACACTAAAACCTATGAATATAGAAATAACCTCCCCTTAACACTAATTCCGCCTACTCACCCTCCTCTTTGTTTGTCAGTAAATCCTCGATTTCTGGGTCTACCTCAGGGCCAGCCTTGCCTTTTTTGCCCTCTTTGGCCACACTTCTGACCTCCTTTGTTTTCTCCCTACTGTCTTTGTTTTTCTCTTTTGTCTTTTCTTTCTTCTCTGTTGACAGCTGCCTTTTACTCTGCCTCTCTTTTTTATCTACATGAGTCTCTTTCTGGGGGTCATTGTCTTTTGCCTCTGCTTTTTCTAATTCTTTGGATTTCTGTTGGTCTGCAAGAAGTTGAAAATAATATAAATAGACAAAATTATTTAATGAAGTGAACTTATTAAGAAAACAAAATCAAAGATCTAATACTCTTTTAAGTTTAATGAATTTGAGGTTTCTTTAACAATGTAAGATGCAATTCAGAAAAAATTGAATACTGTACACATCTACATGACCTAAGGGTGTGTCATAACCTTGACCACAATTTCTGGGGAAGTTCAATCACTGGGTAGAAAAATTTCATAATTCGTGTCCGGTCCATATCTTTCTTGGATTGCCTTTGTATACCTTAATACTACCAAACTTAAAGTTGTGACAAGTTTTGGTAGAAATTTGTGACCCTGTTCAGTGTTCACAATGTAAATTAATCCAATGCTTAAAATACATACTGATTGCATTTGTACTGATAAATTATACCTGATCCAAGACTTTGAAGTTTTTTCAACAAAATGTGCAACCTGAAAATTCAAACAATAAGAAAAATATAAAAAGATATGCAGTGTATAAAGATAAAAGATTTATATTATAAAATGCAATTCCAGCTGATTTTGAGCAACAACATCTAAAAAAAATATTCTGCTAACTTAAACATTCAAAGACTTATAGAATGCAAAAGGTAACTGTAAAATAGAGTAATCAATTAATCTTTAAAATAAATGACACAATTTGAATGAGCTGCATTTGAAATACCATGATGTGAACTTTTCTGTGTTGTGGCTTAGGAACAAATTGAGATCACTGTTCATCTGTTTCTCCGTCTTTTTATTGGCAATCATAACCATAATGTAATCAGGGAGTTCGTCATCTTAAAAATAAAAATTTAAATGTTTTATTACCTTTCTATATTAATGGCCTCCATAAATAAACCAATAATGGTCAAATAAGTACTGAATGATAATATTATGAACTGGTACCAAAAAACTTGTTGTAATGAAAATTATTAATTAATGAAATCAATATAAAAAATTATTATACTATTAATCATCCATACATTTTCATTAAAAACCGTTAAAGTAAAAGATACAGTTTTAAAGGTTTTATTTAGTATTTAAACTCAATGTGAGATGTACAAATGGAGTGGTATATAGATCATCTATCAAGTGCAAGTTTTGCTGGTCAATTACTGTAAATATACATTTGGCCCTGTAATTCTTAGTTTAAAAAAGAATATGAATATTCAGTTACACAACAACGCACTTAAGCAATAGCCTGGTCCCCTGTCTCATCCTTGCCAAGGAAATAAATATTGATGTAAGAATGACACATTACATCGACAACATAGTAAAATAGGATGTCACAATGAATGTCTTCACTGGCAGCACAGCTAATTTCAACGTAACAATTGGTAAGGATCAGGGCAGATTCGCCATGTATCCATTGTACTCCACCTGGCCCTAGTCACATGGTCATGGAGTATACAAAACATAGCAGGGACAGAGAACTAGGCTAACTTCAGAAATTGCACTATCAACATATTAATTTAAGGTAGATGATTCTTAAGATGCACTTACCAACATAAGCATTTAACTCTATCAACTTTGCCTTAATTGCTGACTAAAAATTAAAAAAACCCCGTAGTTTTATTATAATGAACATGTACATATACATCCGAATGTATGCAATCAACCAGATAAATTTATTACTGACACTAAAAATCTTTCATTATATTTGTGAGCCATCTTACAGCAAATCGAAAAATTACCTAAAACAAACTTCTATTAGGAATCTACCCTACATTCTCTATATAAAAATCAACAAGGTTGCCAACTACATTATTGAACGGAAGTAATGCACAATTGATAATTTGATAATATCATACCCAAATATATGTGTAAAATAAACATATATATATTTTGTTTTTTTGTACCCGAATTTTATCAAAATTTTATTTTTTAACGTTTTATAGATTTACACAAATATTTAAGGAAAAGAAGATATTTTTATAAATTGTATTTTTAAAAGGGCATAACTCTCACATGCAAATCAGGTATGAAAAAATAATGAGAGACATTTATTTTTATGAATGATTAATTATTAAAAGAATTTTTTAAAGTGTATAACAACATTTTATTCAAAAGTTTACTGTTCTCAGACTATACAAAATTGTGTATAAAAAGTAGCTGGTATACTAATTCCTAAGCTGAAATATTAGCTTGACATCCTTTAAAAAATAACCCTTAACCTTCATGAGAGTTGGTGGTTAATGAAAAGAATATTCAAGCTACAATATGATTTTTGATTTTACTTCAATTTTAGACGAACAACAATCCACTCGACACAAGCAGGATTGTTAATTTATATATAGAGAGGGTAGATATTTTTATAAAATGTAAGTTTAAAATTTTGAAAAATATTTATCTTTTATATATAATTTATGAACTCTATGAACTGACTCACATTGACACACGATTAACATGTTGTTTTTTTTTACACTATTGACTAAAAATACTAAGTTATTTCAGACAACAGTGCATAAACAAAATAGGAATTCAGGGTCTTGTATAATTTATGTGACATTGAAGAACTGTTGATAATTTGTAAACATTTAGGAATATATTTAGCATAAACATGGTTTTTGTTATCATATAAATTATCCATTGCAACAATACATTAAAAAGTTGTGAAAGAAATAGTGAATATTGAACCCGATATGAAAATAGTAAGAACGAATTATCTTTATGAATGATTAATTATTACGTTTATAAGTCGTTCACATTTTATTGTACATCATGTACATAAATGATAACAAGTTGCTGTCCTTTAAAAAAGTACTGAAATACGTGGACCATATGCATGTGTTTCTAACCGAAATTGAATTAAAGAAAAATCTAGGTGTAGTGAATATTCATGTAGGTTTGTTCAAAAATTTTCTAATTTGATTGTAGTCTCAACAGCAAAATTGTTTTTTTTTTCAGTTTCTGACGATTAGCCTTTAGTTTTGTCAATTAAAAAAACTTCGGGCTATTTTGACACATATATCCCATAATGGCATTTAGGAATTGACACCTGTTTTTGATTTATATGGAAGAAATATATCATGGGAAAAATAGATCTGATGGTACACGTGTAGCACAGCTCTGTAGTACGCAGATTTTTTTTCGTCAGAGCCCCCCTCTCCCTCCCACATTAAAAACTGTTGCTACAGACCTCTATTAGATGTTATTTGGATTGCTGAAATAGCAAATCATTTTCCGAGCCTTGATGCATAAAACTAAATGCCAGTGAAAACTTATTTTATCGTTTAAAAGCTTTAACTAGTCGTTTTTCATTCAAGTTGTCATGTTACACGTACCTAATATATACTGCAAGTTCTTCCTACTTTTTGAAATGCTTGTGCCATAAAACATGTAGAATCAATGTTTAGTTTGTGTATAAAAGAATATGTATAAGAGAGAAATTCGGATCTGCCAATGAATATATAAATGCGATATGCGCTATTCGCCAATAAATGGCATATTCTAATTCGAATAGGGCGAATTATTCTACGGGCAAGTTGCTTAAGGTGCGAACTCTCTAGCATTCTCGCGCATGCGTAGCCTGTCGTTTGCCCATGGCATCCTTTTTAACCTCGCTTATATATTTACTGCGTTATATTTTTGACTCCTTGAAAATCACAGATTTTTTTAAAGGAGCACATTTTTCTATTAATTGTTCCTTTATCTGTCTATATACAAAAAATAATCTGACTTTTTAGCCACAGAAGGTCATTCTTCGTTTTCAATGCCAGGGGTCCTGAAATTAACATGTTGCCATTAGACCCCTGGCAAATTTATAATTAAGTATTTTATAGCTTGTTTTTCTCTTATTGTTAAACACAAATCGAAATTGAAATTTCATGAAAAGTTAGATTAAACAGATAGGATTTAGTTGTCATCTCAAATGCATGTGTAACGAGTTATACTGGAGTGTTTTTTGGTTGAGAGAAAAGTCAAGATTTGTTTCCGAAATATTATGCTACATTCAGCCCATGAACTACTGAATGAAATTTGCCTGGGGCACAATGGCAACTAGTTAGAATAATCTAACTGAGTCGCGGGACAAACCCTCACCACAGTTAGAATATGTCCCTTATACATAATATACAAAATGATTTTGACGATTTTTTTTTAAATTGTATATGCCTTGAATCCCAAAAAATAATTAATATAAAGACAAAAAAAATTCTCAACTAATTTTTTTCCATTACTTCAAATTTACATGCCATGTTTACATTCAAATCGAACTCTCTGAAAAGTTAGATTAAACAGATAGGATTTAAAAATGCATGTGTACAAGTTATCTCCTATTTTTATTTTGCTACATTGCTTATACATGGAAAAAATTCTCTCAGTAAACTGGGTCTGTAGGACAAATTCATACTAACAGTAGAACATAACATGAGTCAGGTCCGTGGTATTGCAGGGATGCAGAAGTAAATGCCCCAAGTTTGGCATACATACTGTAGACATAAACTAATTAATATAAAGACAAAAAAAAATTCTCAACTAATTTTTTTCTCAATTTCCGTTTAATTCGCTCTCTGGGTAGTAAATTACGTGAATTTCTCCTATTGTTATTTTGCTCATATGCCTTACATTTACATTCAGTACGCTTGGACAAATTTCCGCAATAGAAAAATTTGTGACCGCGGTATTGCATAGCGTAAATTAATACCACCGTTTGGCAAAAATATTAAACACAGTTTTCAAACATTTAATTTAATTGCCTTTTCAGATGCATAATAATAACAAAAGGAGACTCTGTATTTATCTTAAGTTATTTCTAAATGTGAAAAGATTGATAAGATCATAATTTTGACTCACGAAGAAAGGAAAAGAATATGAACTCTCAATCTGCTTGTAAATAAAATGCTTATCTAAAATCACAATCCTTGGCAACTTAATAGACCCCAGTTGATAAAGTTGAGTACCGGTAACTGTCGCAAATAGGAGCATGTCAGGTATCTGGAGTAGAGTACTGTATTGTTGACAACATTACCTTTTTCTTTTTAATCAAATTTTTTTTTTTCAGATAATATATTTTAATTAATATATCTTTAAATGACTGCTTAGAAAAGTGAAAAGTGACAAAAATCAATCTGTTCAGTTTATTGAAGTCAAGAGACATACATCTCATAGACAAAATTATTATTTACAATCACAAATTTAACACATGTAAAAATAAAATAAACATACAACATACATGTACAAAACATATAGTATTTTCGATAATTTAGACAAAGAAATTAATTTCTTTAGAATAATGAATATATCAGCCCTGTTCCTCCATTAATAATGAAGTTAGTGGGAATGGTCATTAAGTTATTTCATTACCGTAAAAGCCTGTGATTTCTACTCCATATAGGCAAAAACAGACTTCATTTTTTCAAATATCAATGCCTACATGAATACTGTAGTGTATGAATGAAAAGGGAGAAATTAAATGATCATAAAGAGCTTGTCCATAATTAAGTTTATTTTACTTTGTGTGCAAAAGAATATTGTCAGCAATCAACATTTTATTATCCAAACATGATCAGGACAAGAAATAAAAACTCATGACTGGGTATATGTATATACTATACTCATTTTTTATAGGTTAAAAAAACTATTTTTTTATTAGGAAATTTCCATTTTTATCTTAGTACACTGTACTTTATTGGGTCAATTATTGTACAGGGATAAACTTCTCAATTTTATTGACCAAAAAGCTGAAATATTGCAGACTCTGACTGTTAAACAATAACAAGTCCATTTTATTGAGTAGTCATGACAATTTCATTTTCACAAAAGAGATATTGAGCTCTTAAACTTGTATTATATGTATGCGGATACTTTGACATACATGTACTGCATGACACACATTGTTATATGTCTGTTGCTAAAATGGTGTGTTAAACATGATCTTGTACACCGTGATCGTTGTCTTTGTCATAACTGCCTGTATTTAGTAGTTTTGTGGCATCAGATTGGTTTAGTTAGTATACCTAACATAGATAAAATGAGCACTCATGAAACATCCTAAATAATGTACTGGTACATGTACAACAGTCTCATTTTTTATGCAAAAAATTCCCTAATTTTTATCCTCAAATCTAAAGATTTACACTCAAATGTAGACCATTCTACAAGTTGTAAAAACATGCAGAAAATTTGTTAACACTGTGACTAAAACTGAGACAATGAATTTGTGCAATGTCCCTAACTAGTTATACCTTCACATGCTCAAAATCGCAACCTTTATTACAACTAAAACTATGTTTATATAATTGTACTCACTGGTCAAATGACAATTTATGGATGTTTCAATTTCAAGGAAAATATCAAAGGTAAAAATCTATTGTAATAACATTTTTTGTGATACTTTCAAAATCTATTTTCCCATGCTTGCTCTTGAAAATCTTTTTAGCAAATTTTTATCAAAATTGTGGAATTCATGGGCTTCATCACTCTTTGGTCCAGCATTCAAACCCAACGGTGGGATTTAGATGGACATCTATTAGACATCTTCGAATTTTTTTTTTGTGAAAGAGAAGCATTGATTCCTTAGTTTAGATTCCACTTAGCATTTTTTTTTTGAGATTTACAGATCTGCAGCTATTGTTGGATAATACAGATTTAATTGTATATGCCCCCTTTCGCCAATGTAAAAGATGATCAATATTATATTAAATTTTAGGGGGTATCAGTTACCATGTTTT